GACCTTTGCCTCTGGGCACCAGCCATTTATTGAAAGATGGGGATCAGAGAGGGGGGAAGAACATCCCCTTCCGCTTCTTTTTAGCCATACCATCCGTTTCCCTCTGGAGCAATGAAGGGCAGCTGTCCAGTTGGGGGGAAAAAACCCCAAGGAATGCAGTGTGACACCAATTGAATTGCCATGGGAGGAGCGCCTGCCAAAAAGTGTTAGTGCCTCACCAACATACATCTCCAAAAATGCCACAGCGTTGAGTTAAAAGTCATATCAAACTGTAGCCATTCTCCAATATAGATGCACCCCTAAGCTTCCTTTGAAAATAGAAATAACTCTTTTTTGTGGGTTGTTGTAGGTTTTTTCGGGCTATATGGCCATGTTCTAGAGGCATTTTCTCCTGACGTTTCGTCTGCATCCATGGCAAGCATCCTCAGAGGGAGTGAGGTCTGTTGGAAGTAGGAAAATGGGTTTATATATCTGTGGAATGACCAGGGTGGGGCAAAGGACTCTTGTCTGCTGGAGCTAGGTGTGAATGTTTCAACTGACCACCTTAATTAGCATTTGATGGCTTGGCAGTGTCTTTTTTGTGTCAGGAGTGACTTGAGAAACTGCAAGTCGCTTCTGGTGTGAGTCGCCATCTGTAAGGACCTTGCCCAGGGGACGCCTGGATGTTTTGATGTTTTGCTATCCTTGTGGGAGGCTTCTCTCGTGTCCCCGCATGGGGAGCTGGAGCTAACAGAGGGAGCTCTATCCTGGCTCTCCCCCATTCGAACATGTGACCTGTCGGTCTTCAATCCTCCCCCCCCCCCACTGCGCCACCGGGGGCTCCTTAACTCTGGTAATGGGGAGTATATCCTGTACGCCTTCAAATCCATGGCGATTTTAAGATGAGTCTAGCCCGCTTTTGACCAAGTTTACATAGTGGTTTTCCTTAACTGATGGGGAGATTTGAACCCGGGCTCCCAGTCCAACACTACATTACACTGGCAACGAAGTGGAATGGACAAATAACCAGGGGGTGGTATGGGTATTCGTGTAGAAAGGGGTTTTAAGGGACTTCCGAAATGGGATTGGGACTATGGGGAAGCAGTATTAATTTTTCAAATGAATCAGTGGATTTAGGATTTGCCAGAGGATCTCTCAGACAGGAGTGGTTAATCGTCCTGGGTGGTGGCAACCTTTCAGTGGTCAAATTAACCTTTGTGGCCCCTATGGAGGTTTGTTACTGTTGTGCTGCCTTTGTGTAGTTTCTGGCTTCTAGCAACTCAAAGGTGGACCTATCACAGGGATTTGTTCAGATGGAGGGGTTGCCCACCATTGCCATCCTCTAAGGCAGTGTGACTTGCCATGGCTACCTAGTGAGTGCCCACCTTTGCCATCCTCTAAGGCCGAGAGAGTGTAATTTGCCATGACTACCCAGTGGGTTTCAATGCCCGGGGTTACCCATCATTGCCATCCTCTGAGGCCAAGTGAGTATGACTGGCCAAGGCCACCCAATGGGTTTTCTATGGCCTAGCGAGTATTCCAACCCTGGTCTCCAGAATCACAGCCCAACACTGTACAGCACTGCAGGTTAGAGGGCATTATTTGGGTCAGGAGGTTTTGGGCGAGGGTAAGATGAGTGAGGGAGGCCACTACTATAAAGTATGCCACCATAAATTAGATAGCTTTCTCCGGAGTGTGGCTCAGCAATGATCTCCCCTCGGTCTTTCCCTTTGTTCCGTCTTAGTATTATCTATGCTCTTTATCAAAACATAGACAAGTATGGTGGCTTCTTAAAGACAGACAGATTCTTTATGGCTCAAGTCACAATAAATCGGTGCTTCTCCAAGGATGCCACGTGCCTCTAAAACAACCGGCTAGATCAGTGGTTCTCAACCTGGGGTCCCCAGATGTTTTTGGCCTTCAACTCCCAGAAATCCTAACAGCTGGTAAACTGGCTGGGATTCCTGGGAGTTGTAGGCCAGAAACATCTGGGGACCCCAGGTTGAGAACCACTGGGCTAGATAGATAGATAGATAGATAGATAGATAGATAGATAGATAGATAGACACAGAATATATCTGTGTGTGTGTTTCCAGAATTTTCAGTTGCTAAAGGGTGTATGCAGTGAGCCCTTAGTATCTTCTGGGGTTTGTTTCCAGGACCCCCATGGACACCAAAACCTGTGGATGTTCAAGTCTAGTAGTACACAATGGCTCTCCAAATGGTGTCCCTTATATAAAATGGCAAAATTAAGCCTTATATGGAATATCTTCAAGCCCTGGAGGGTTGAATCCGTGGAAGCACAAGCCGTGGATAAGGAGGGCTGGTTGTACATTGTTTGGGGCACCCTGTATATGCCTGTTGGGGGATTTTTGTAAACGCGGTGGCAGTCATATATATAAGACCGTTTTGAAGTTGTTTACAGTGGTAAGATAAACATTTTTAAAAATTAAAATAGAGAATCCATCCCATGCCTTATACCTGTGTGTGTGTTTGTTTGTGTAAGCGGCGTGGCTCCTCTGAGATAGTGCCAAACTCATCCACCAATTCGCAATTTATTCCTAGCATGGAAAACCACCAAGGGCACCCCAAGCAAGGAGACGGGCTCCTTCTACACAACTGTATAAAGTCCGCAATATATGGCAGTGTGGACTCAGATAATTAAGTTCAAAGCCGATATAGTGGATAATCTAGGCTATATGGCTTTGTGGAAAGGCTTGGGGATGGTTTCCTTCCTCTTTCCGAAGCGACTATATCATAGTCACCGGAGCCTCGTGTAAGTGTGTGTGTGTTGTGTTTTTACAGCCTTAAGTTCAGCCTTCATCTCCTGGATGCGGGCGCAGAGAGCCGTCCGGAGCCTCTCCATGTCTTTGGCGCCAGAGCGCAGTCTGGGCGGCGGAGAGGCGGCTGTGTTTGTGGTTGTGTATGTGTGTGAGCATGTCTGTAGAAGAAAGAAGCGGCTGCCCCGGCGTTTCTCGCCTCCTTTTGGAGAGGAACATCTGGGGGAAGATAAAGATACTCTGGGCCCCCTTCTCCCGCTCCCCAGAATGCAAGGGTGGATTGGTAGCCTTCTTTCAACTCAACACACACACAGCGGCTTCACAACGTTAGGAGGGATGGAGGCATAAGTGGCGTTTCAGTTTAGCTGGAAGAACTGGAGCAGGGTATTTTCGGGGAAAGGGAGGGCGGGAGACTGAAAGAGAAGGGAGAGAGGGTATTCTTTGAGAAGGCTAGAAACCAAATGAGATTGAAAGGAGGGAAAGGAAGCAAAGGGAATGTGGGTTCCTATTCATAATACACTTTCCCTGCAAAACTGGCTGATAGAGAAAGAACGAAAGAACAACAAAAAGAAGGAAGGATGGATATTGTAAGCCGCACAGAGTCAAAGTATTATTGTTATTGTTATTATGATGATGATGATGATGATGATGATGATGATGATGATGATGGAGAATGTTATGAAGAAAGAAAATGCAATCAAAGAAGGATGGTGGAAGACAGCGAAAGTAGGATAGTTTCCTACCCATTTCAACAAACTTTTCGTTGCAAATTTGCCTGATGGATGGAAAAAAGGAAGGAATAATGTTTTGGAGGAGGCTATGAAGAAATATAATGCGTTTGAAGGACTCAGAAAAAAGCCAGAGCCGTTTCCTATCCGTTTCATCAAACGTGGTTGATAGAGGGCCCTTCCACACAGCCATATAATCCAGAATATCAAGGCAGAAAATCCCAGAATTTCTGCTTCGAACTGGGTCACATCTGAGGCCCCTTCCAGCAGGTGAATAAAATCCCACATTTTCTGCTTTAATATTTTATTTCCAAAAAATAATATACCAACCATATATAATACACCAACCATATACATTTTCTGCTTTGAACTGGAATATATGGTAGTGTGGACTCAGATGAAAGCAGATATCGTGGGATTTTCTGCCATATTTTGGATTATGTGGCTGTGTGGAAGGGCCCTCAGATTATTATTTTTTTCGTGTCAGGAGAGACTTGAGAAACTGAATGTAGCTTCTGGTGTGAGAGAATTAACCATCTGCAAAGACATTTCCCAGGGGACGCCTGGGTGCTTTGATGGTTTACCATCCGTGTGGTAGGCTTCTCTTATGTCGCTGCACGGGGAGCTGGAGCTGATAGAGGGAGCTCATCCACGCTCTCTCCCTCCCCCCTCCCCCCGCGACCTTGGCCCTCAGATCACCCAGTTCAAAGATATTGTGGGATTTTCTGCCTTGATATTCTGGGATATAGGGCTGTGTGGAAGGGCCCTGAGTCAGGGCGAAAGTAAACCCCATTGTTCAGAAGTGGGGGTTTCGTTGGACTAAATATCCACAGGACTCCACTGTGTGACTTGATACCAACTAAGGTAACTTATGTGGCTGAGTGGAAGAGCCCTGAGTCCACACGACCATATATCCCAGTTCAAAGCAGATAATGTGGGATTTTATTCAGCTGCGTGGAAGGGGCCAGAGAAGGATCAAGAGAAGGGAAGGAAGGAAGGATGGATGGAAGTATTCTGGAGGAGGCTATGAAGACACAAATACATTTGAAGGACCCAGCAAAAGTCTGGTAGTTTCCTATCCATTTCACTCAACTCTTTCATTGCAAAACAGGGTAATGATAGGGACCAACAAAAAGAAACACAACGATCCTTGTCCTGCAACAAACTATGGCGCAAACAATAATTTATTTAAATAATCTCTTCATATTGTAAAAGTAACATTGAGGGAGTTGGGTTTTTTTTTTGCAATAAATTATATATATAAAAAGGAAAAATACCGGTATTGTTTAAAAAGAATTAAACCACGAATTGGGACAAGTCAATAGCTGATTCTTTTTGACATCAAGGAAGAAAGGCATAAAACAGGATAAGGAAATATTTAGGGAAGTTGTCCAGAGAGGGGGAAAGGGGAAATTATGCCCTTAACACAGGAAAGAAAGAAATACAGGCCGCCCAATGGGCCATTTCCCTCCCGCCACATTTTTTATATCAAGGAACTCGGGTGGGGAGGAAATCGGCACAAAACAGCTTTATTACAAACATATTTTTCCCCAGTGAAGAAAAGTCCTCCAAACATAAAAAAACATAATTTAAACACAGCTTATGTTCTTTTTTTGTCATTTTAAATATCTACATATAAAAATTATTTCTCTCTTTTTCCCCCCCAGCCCAACATCAAAATGAGGTCATCTGCAAAGGCACCTATAAAAAACGTTTACAAAAATAAACAAAATTAAATAGGAAATTCTGCACTGGTGACTGGATGAGGAATGAGTGAGGAGTGGATTGGCATTCATGTCATTCTGCCAAGGGACCAAATATTTGCTGAAGATTGATATTCTATGAAGGTAGATCTACTCTGAAGGAAGTCCCATAGACTTAAACGGTCATTACTCCTATGTAAATAGATGTAAGATAGTAGAGGGCGGAGCTAGAGAAGCAGGAGAGGAGGGGGACATCTATAGTGTAGGATTAGTTCGGTTTGGTAACCGCCAGGGCTCCATGTTATAGGACACTGGTTTCCTACCTTTGCTCTTCCTGTTGTTTGGAACTTCAACTCCCAGTTTACCAGCTGTTAGGAATTGTGGGAGCTGAAGTCCAAAACACCTGGAGATCCAAAGCTGGCGGACTACTGCTATAGGATCAGGGGAATTGTAACTTTGGCCTTCTCTGCCTAAGAGTGCAGATGATTCCCTAGCATTGAGCCATGGCAAATAAATTGGAGAGTGAATACCTCTGAAAGAGAATTCAAAGACATACCTATGTTAAGATTGAAATATTAACATGCAAAGGGATGTGGTAGCAGCTTGGTCTACCAAAGATGCTCCAAAACCCCACTTGCATTGTGAGGCAATTCCTAGAGAAAGTGTTTGGACATAGATCTAACCTGGAAATGTTCTCAGATGCTGGGGAAAATATCAAAACAAATCTAATTCAATAACTGGGGGAGGAAGGGGCAGATATATTGTAGAATGAGTGCAGCTTGACTCCACTGTTAACTGCCATGGCTCAATATTTATGGAGTCTGGGGACTTTTACAAACCTTCCCTTCCAGAGTGTGCTGGGGCCTTACCAAACTACAACTCTCAGGGTGCCATAACATTGAGTGAGGTCAAAACTTCAATCTAGATGCACCCATAGTCTAATTAATACTCAAATCAGTACACCAGTGGTTCTCAACCTGTGGGTCTCCAGATGTTTTGGCCTTCAACTCCCAGAAATCCTAACAGCTGGTAAACTGACTGGAATTTCTGGGAGTTGTAGGCCAAAACACCTGGGAAACCACAGGTTGAGAACCACTGCAATACACTATGGTACCCTGATTTGAAACTGTGACTAAGTCCCCCTTCCACACTACCATATAAAATCCAGATTATCTGCTTTGAACTGGATTATATGGCAGTGTAGACCCATATCCTCCAGTTCAAAGTAGATAATGTGGATCATCTGCTTTGACAACCAGGATTATATGGGAGTCTAGAAAGTGGCCTTGATCTACACTGCCATATAATGCAATTTGAAGTGTATTAAATCCTCAGTGTAGACTCTTATAATGCAATATGAATTGCGTATATGGCTCTACACCAGGCATGGGCAAACTTCTGCCTTCCAGGTGTTTTGGACTCCAACTCCCACCATTCCTAATAGCCTCAGGCCCCTTCCTTTTCCCCCTCAGCCACTTAAGCGGAAAAGGAAAGGGCCTGGCTGAGGCTATTAGGAATGGTGGGAGTTGTAGTCCAAAACACCTGGAAGGCCCAAGTTTGCCTAGGCCTGCTCTACACTGAGCATATAACAGCAGTTCAATATGGCTGTGTAAATCCAGCCTGTGTTTGCAGTTGGGAGACCCTCATGAGGGCCCAAATCGTGAGGGAACGACCCTAGGTCGCTCCTGTCAAGATGGAGTTGAGTTCTTCCAGAGTGACAAGAATTTGGTCCCTCAGCAAAAGCCCCCCAATGGGCTTCTTTGTCTGTGTCTCTCTGTGTGTGTGTGTGTCATTCTCTTCTCCGCCATCTTAGGGAGTTAGAAGATCGTCCCTGCGCTGTGGTGATGATGGTGGTGGTGGTGATGGAGGTGATGAGGGTGGTGCTGGTGAGGCTGGCCTTGCTGAGGAGGAGGCAGGATGGTGGAGGCTCCTTGCAAGTGGGAGGCCTGGTGGTACCACGAGTAGTTGCCCAAGAAAGCCGCTGCGGCTGCTGCTGCTACTGCGGCTGTGGTAGTGGGGGCGCCAGGGCTGGACCCCGCGCTGCCGCCATTACTGCTGCTTCCTCCTCCTCCTCCGCTGCCGCCATTAACGACCCGTTGTGGATGAGGCGCGAAGTCCCAGGCCAAGGGCGAAGGAGAAGAGGAGCAGGGCGGAGGGGAGCCCTCGGAGGCGCCCGGGTGCTGCTCTGCCGGCAGCTCGCCGCTTTTCCACATCTTCTTGAACTTGGACCTGCGGTTCTGGAACCAGATCTTCACCTGGAAGGAAGGAAGAAGGAGAAGGCCGCGAATGAGCCAAGAGCCAAAATGGCGCCCGACCAAGCCGCACCACAAGAACAGCTAGGCCGCACTGGCTAGACCACTGCCGTCGTGTGTTGGTGTGACACAACCAGACATCCCACACAATAATAACTGTCTTTTTTAATGCTCAGTTCTAGATCATTTTGTCCACCATGGCTCCAGTTTGTGAAGGCCGGAAAGAAAAAGGCGGGAATCACCTCAGAAATCGCCCCACTGCCCTTTGTGAAGAATGTGAGGCGATTTCTGAGGAAATTTCTGCCTTTTTTCCCACTCTTTGTAAGTGGCTTCTTCCACACAGCTGAATGAAACCCCACATTATCTGCTCTGAACTGGGATATGTGGCAGTGTGGACTCAGGGCCCTTCCACACCCCTGTATCCCAGAATACCAAGACAGAAAATCCCACATTATCTGAGTGTCAGTTCAAAGCAGATATTGTGGATTTTCTGTCTCAATATTCTGGGATATAGGGATGTGTGGAAGGGCCCTCAGATATTCCAAGCAGATATTGTGGATTATCCTGCCCTGATATTCTGGGTTATCTGGCTGTGTGGAAGGCCCCTTAGGCCCCTTCTATACCGCTACATAAAATTCCACATGATCTGCTTTGAAATAGGATATATGGCAGTGTGGACTCTGATAACCCAGTTCTAAAAATATATTGTAGGTTATTCTGCCCTAATATTCTGGGTTATCTGGCTGTGTGGAAGAGCCCTTAGGTACCTTCTACATCACTGTCTAAAATTTCACATTATCTGCTTTGAACTGGGATATATGGCAGTGTGAATTCGGACAACCCAGTTCCAATAAAATATTGTGGCTTATTCTGCCGATATTCTGGGTTATATGGCCCTTTCCTGTCATTTAATTTATGCTGGCTCAACAGTGCCATACAACCCAGTTCAAAGCAGATAGATAATCTGGATTCAGAAATTGGATTGTATGGCAGTCTAGATGGGGCCTTAATTTCTCCCCAAGGACCTGCTGCTGAGGAGATTAGGAAACCAGAGGCTTTGAATATAATCTAGAGCTGGAAGAGACCTGGTGGGCCATCCAGTCCAACCCCTTCCAAGAAGCAGGAAAATCAAATTCAAAGCACCCCTGACAGATGGCCATCCAGTCTCTGTTGAAAAGCCTCCATAGAAGGAGCCTCCACCACATTTCGAGGCAGAGAGTTCCACTGCTGAACAGCTCTCACAGTTAGGAAGTTCTTCCTAATGTTCAGGTGGAATATCTTCCTGGAAGCCATTGTTTTGCCTTCCTGGTTTCCAGGGCAGAAGAAAACAAGCCTGCTCCCTCTTCCCTATAACTTCTCACATATTTATACATGGCTATCATGTCCCAACATGTGTGGTTTGTCTTGATTAATAAGTGTGGATGTGGTTTTGGAAATAATTTCAATGGCATATGTTCTAAGTTATTTATGGTTTATGCAGGGGCAATTTATTTATTTGGCTTATGATGTTGTTTAATTGAATTTGTATGCTATGAAGTGTCTGTTGCTTCTAACTACTGTACTGTCTTTGAGTCCCACCCGTGGGAGATGGGAAGCCGAGGCCCCTTCTACACTGCCTCATGATCCAGATTACCAAATCAGATAATCCAGATTATCTGCTTTGAACTGGATAATAGTGTACACGGCCATATAACCCAGTTCAGAGCAGATAATCTGGATTTCATATGGCAGTGTAAAAGGGGCCTGAAGAAGCAGAGTTTGTTCTAGGCAAGCTTAAGTGATCTTTGTCTCACCCCATGCATTTCCCTGTGTCAGGTGCAAGTCGCTTCTGGTGTGAGATAATTAGCCTGGGCTCCCAATGTTTTGATGTTTTACCATCTTTGAGGGAAGTTTCTCTCATGTCCCCGCATGGGGAGCTGGAGCTGACAGAGGGAGCTCATCCGCAGCTCTCTCCTGTTGGTCTTCAGTCCTGCACAAGCGTTTAGCCCATTGCACCATCATGCATTTCATGAAGACTTATTTTTTAAAAAACTTGGGCTCCTTCCATGCATCTAAGGAAAATTTAAACCTAAACGCTGTAAAGCTTATGCTACCAACTTTTCTCTCAGTCTGAAATGTCACAAAAGATCCTTTGAAGATTGATATTTCAGACCAACAAGGCAATTGCTCTGAATTCTATGCATCTTCCATGTGTGTGTTTTCTTGAACTCCCTGCTCACTGGGAACTGTTTTGGGTATTTCTCATTTCAGCTTTCTGTCTGGGAGCGAAGGGCTGGGAAATACCCTTTCCTCCACTTCCAGGGAGGGCCTTTTCCATCACTGTGGGGGGAAAAAGAGGCTCCAGGCGCCAAGTTTTTTTTCTTTTCTTTTTTTTGGAGAAGGGGCTTTGGAGATTTCTGCTAACAATCCTCAAAGGGCACTTAGGAGACCGCATTTTCACTGCCACAGTTTGGGGTGTAATGGATCAGCTTTGTGTAAAATGGCACCTCTTTGTTTTCCCACCGTTGTGTTCATAACTCGTTTTTTTCTTTTCTAAAATCGGGCGTAGGGTCAATATGCACAAAAAAACTAAAGGGAAGGGGAAAACACTTCAGTGTGGAGGATCAGTATTCAAAGGGATCTTGAAGCACCTCCTAGACGGACTGAGGAAATATGTTTTCGCAAGTCAATGTCCTCTTCTACAGATTATCCGAGCATATAACCCACATTATTTGATTTGAACTGGATTATATGAGTCTACACTGCCACATAATCCGGTTCAAAGCAGATTCTCTGGATTTTATATGGCAGTGTAGTACCAGCCTAAGTCTATTTCATAGAGTAAGCCTACTACTATTACTAGACTTGTTCTACTGATAACGACAGAAATGATGTTTTAACAGAAGGAAGAATTCCTTATGAGCTCCTCCTTCAGAAATACATTTTTCCACTACTGTCTCATCCAGGGTTTTATCATTTTTATCCTGTGCATTTGGTCCACCCATTGTGTTCTATCTCTTTATTATGTTATTTTTAACTGTTTATTTTATTTTGTTACTTTATGTATCTTATTTTGATGTATTTTTGTTTCTTTGTATTTTATTTTGCTGCATTGTATTTTTGGGCTTGGCCTCATGTTAGCCGCCCCGAGTCCCCATTGGGGAGATGGTTGCGGGATATAAATAAAAATTATTATTATTATTATTTGAAACACAACAAGATGCTCTGCTGGGTGTTGTATTGGATCACACGTCCAATGCTTCTCAAGTGTCTAGAACTGTGTGATGTATTGGCGAATTATTATTATTATTATTATTATTATTAAGAATCTGTTTGAATAGACCTTTAAAAACTGCTTTCCCCGGTTGTGATATAAGCACACAGCAATAGATATTGGGGAAAAGCCACCCGAGAACAATGGCGGGAGTTAAATGCATTCAAATCAGGCTCCGCTTTCTGGGAATATACAGGGTGCCCGTAAAGTTTCTTTACCATATAGATAGTGTTATTTTTAAATAGTATGGCGTAAAGGGACTTTACGGATACCTGTATGACTGGGGAGAAGAACAGAAATGGTCCTGCCTATGGTTCTTTCGGGACCCCATTAATTAAAGGCGACATTAAATGCTTCTCATTGAAATCCGCCGGATGGTACTCATGCATTTTTATACAGCGTGTTGTGCTTTTAGGTTCCTTTATGGCAACTCCATGCATTTCACAGGGTTTTCTTAGGCTAGAGATGGCTTTGCCCCTTCCTTCCTAGCCTACAGCCACCTGACATTCATTGGTGGCCTCCCATTCAAGTCCTAATCACGGCTGGTCCTGCTTAACCTCCGAAATCTGACTGGATCTGGTGCCTTTAGGACAGGCGTGGGCAAACTTGGCCCCTCCTGGTGTTTTAAACTTCAATTCCCACAATTCTTAACAGCCGATAGACCAGATGTGGGCGAACTTGGGCCCTCCAGGTGTTTTGGACTTCAACTCCCACCATTCCTAACAACCTACCTGGAGGGCCCAAGTTTTCCCATGCCTGCTTTAGGGTATTAAGGCCTAAAGGCATACACATGCTGGGTTGCTGTGAGCTTTCCGGGCTGTATGGACATTTCTCTCCTGGAGGATGGCTATACAGCCCGGAAAACTCACAGCAACCCAGTGATTCTCTCACGAAAGTCTTCGACATCGACAACAAAGACGAATCTGAATGTTATGGACGGATGGGCATGAGCTAGATTTTGCTCTGCTCTGGTCTCCTCAGAATAGGCTTCACTGTTGGCAAAGGGGGCGCCTCCTCCCCCTCCCCCCCTTCCTTCTCTTACCTGGGTCTGGGTGAGTCCCAAGGAGGCGGCCAGCTCGGCCCTTTCGGGCAGGGCCAGGTACTGGGTCTTCTGGAAGCGGCGCTGCAAGGCGGCCAGCTGGAAGCTGGAGTAGATGGTGCGCGGCTTCCTCACCTTCTTCGGCTTCCCGTTGACCATGCGGACCTCGGGCTCCCCCTCCTCTTTCTCGCCTGCGGGAAGCAAGGCTAGGATCGTAAAGTTGGAAAGGATCCCGAAGGCCACCCAGCCCAGCCCCATCCTGCTATATAGGACGATTAAACCACTCCCAACAAATGGCCATCTAGGTTGTCCTCAAACACCTCTTGAGAAGGGGACTCCACTACACTCGGAGATATTCCACTGCGGGACATCTCTTACCGTCAGGAAGTTCTTCCTAGATAGTTTCAATGGGAAATTTTCAATGTGATATCCTTTCAGATATGTAAACAGGGCCATCCTACCCCATCTCAGCCTCCTTTTCTCTCTAGGCTAAACACATCGAGCTCCCTAAGCCGCTCCTGCTAGACCAGTGGTTCCCAACCTTTGGGCCTCCAGGTGTTTTGGCCTACAACTCCCAAAAATCTCAGCCACCTTACCAGCTGTTAGGGACTGTGGGCGCTGAAGACCAAAACACTCGGAGGCCCAAAGATTGGGAACCATTGTGCTAGACCTAGGGCTTGGCTTCCAAACCTTGGATAACTTGGGTTGGATCACTACAGCTTGTTCAGCAGTGGAACTCTCTGCCTCGGAGTGTAGTAGAGGCGTCTTCTTTGGAGGCTTTTCAACAGAGGCTGGATGGCCATCTGTCAGGGGTGCCTTGAATGCGATTTTCTTGCATTCAGTATTTTTTTAGGCTTTTCAACAGAGACTGGGTGGCCATCTGTCAGGGGTGCTTTGAATACCATTTTCTTGCATTCAGGATTTTTGGAGGTTATAAACAGAGGCTGGATGGCTGTCAGGGGTGATTTGAATGCGATTTTCCTGCATTCTGGATTTTTGGAGGCTTTTCAACAGAGGCTGGATGGCCATCTGTTAGAGGTGCTTTGAATGCGATCTTCCTGCTTCTTGGCAGGAGGTCTCTTCTAACTCAAGGATTCTATGAAGATCCCTCTGGAAACCCAGAACTGGACTCAATTGGATGCTCGAAGAGGGAAACTTTTCTCTCCCCCGAATCGCATGGACCCTGAATCCACGCGAGAGCGTGGATGTTAGGGACCCACCCCCTGCTGCAGAGACCCCCCTTTCCATCTTTTCATGCACCCCCAGGAAGCCTTACCGGGCTCATTGCTGGCCGGCGATGCCCTGGCCCCATAGGCTGCGTAGGGGCTGTAAGCAGCGGCGGAGTAGCCCAGGTCGTAGCTGCCGGCTTTGGCAGAGAAGGGCCCCGTGTTGGGGTGGTACTGGTAGGAGCCCATCGGGGGGTAAGGGGACCCGCTGCTCCCACCTCCTCCGTGTTGTTGTTGCTGTTGCTGCTGGTTGGTGTAGTAGCTGCTATCGGTGGCCGTGGACACGGGCAGCGTGGGCGACTCCTGGGGCTTGTGCAGGCCGTGCGGGTGGTGCTGGTGGTAGCTGCTGGAGGCCATCTGGTTGGCGTGCATGTCGGAGGCCAGGCTGTCGAAGACGCCGGTCATCCTGAGGATCCCTCTCCTTCCTTCCCTCCCTCCTTCGCTCCTTTTGAGGTTGTTTTTGGATGCAAAAAGGGGAGGGAAAAGTGTACCCTCTTTCCTTTTTCTCCAAGTTCAGAGGAAGAGCTTTCTTTACTGGGCTGCCCTCGGTGCAGCTGCTGTCCCGGCGAAGAGAGGAGCGCTGGCGGCTAGAGCCAGAGGCCGGGAGGTCTCCATCGTCTGGAGGCTTTTTTGTTCGGCTCCCTCTGGCTCTGCCTGCCCGATCCCCCAGCCACCCAGTGCCCAGTTAGCAAAAGTCTCGGGAGCCCCGCTTGGCTCTCTTCCCTCCTTTTCTCCCTCTCCTGATCTCTCTCTCTCTTTACGATTGTCTGCCGCTCCTGGAGGCGGCCAGGCGGGCATTTAACACCAGTCACGTGGCACCGGGACACGTCACCTAGCAACAGCCTATCCGCTTCTCTCCCTTTCTTTTTCCTTCAGCTCTGCCGCCTTCTTTCTCTTTCCCTCCTCCTTCTTCTTCTAATCTTTGCTTTCAGCAACCCCCCCCCCCCTCCTCGCCCTGGAGGCTCCTCGCAGATGACACACGTGTTGAGATGGGAAGGGAAAGGGGGCAATTTGGGGGGAAGGGGAGCCCCATGTGAGAAGAAAGACCCAGGTGTAGGGTGCGGCGGGGCTGCCCCTTGAAAGGAGTACATTCACAACAACAATGGGGCAACCCACAGAGTGCGCCCGGAGTAGAGTGGATGCAGTCTTCCTGTAGCAGGGAGCGTGGGTTGCGTTTGTGGCACGAAATGGACCGCTTACTCCACTCTGGTTTGTTGCTGTCGTTTCTTCTTCTTCTTCTTCTTCTTCTTCTTCTTCTTCTTCTTCTTCTTCTTCTTCTTCTTCTTCTTCTTCTCTTCTTCTTCTTCTGCTTCTTCTTCTTCTTCTTCTCTTCTTCTTCTTCTTCTTCTCTTCTTCTTCTTCTTCTTCCTTCTTCTTCTTCTTCTTCTCTTCTTCTTCTTCTTCTTCTTCTTTTCTTCTTCTTCTTCTTCTTCTTCTTTTCTTCTTCTTCTTTCTTCTTCTTTCTTCTTTTTTCTTCTTCTTCTTCTTGTTTTTTCTTCTTCTTCTTCCTTCTTCTTCTTCTTCTTTCTTCTTCTTCTTTTCTTCTTCTTCTTCTTCTTCTTCTTCTTCTTCTTCTTCTCTTCCTTTCTTCTTCTTCTTTCTTCTTCTTCTTTCTTTCTTCTTCTTCTTCTTCTTCTTCTTCTTCTTCTTCTTCTTCTTCTTATTCTTCTTCTTATTCTTCTTCTTCTTCTTCTTCTTCTTCTTCTTCTTCTTCTTCTTCTTCTTCTTCTTCTTCTTCTTCTTCTTCTTCTTCTTCTTCTTCTTCTTCTTTTCTTCTTCTTCTTTTCCCCTCTCCTCCTATCTCCTCCTTTTCCTCCCCCTTCCCCTTCTATACTTAGTTAAAACCGTTTCTACTCTAGAAGAGATAGGTGCATGTTGCACTCTTCTTCCTTCTTCTTCTTCTTCTTCTTCTTCTTCTTCTTCTTCTTCTTCTTCTTCTTCTTCTCTTCTTCTTCTTCTTCTTCTTCTTCTTCTCTCTTCCTTCTTCCTTCTATTCTTCTTCTTCTTCTTCTTCTTCTTCTTCTTCTTTTCTTCTTCTTCTTTTTTTTCTTCTTCCTCTTTTTCGCTTCTTCTTCTTCTTTTCTTTCTTCTTCTTCTTCTTCTTTTTCTTCTTCTCTTCTCTTCTTCTTCTCTTTCTTTTGTTCTTCTTTTCTTCTTCTTCTTCCCATCTTCTTTCTTCCTTCTTCTCTTCTTTCTTTTCTTTCTTCTTCTCCTTCTTCCTCTTTTCTCTTCTTCTTCTTCTTCTTCTTCTTCTTCTTCTTCTTCGTCTTCTTCTTCTTCTTCTTCTTCTTCTTCTTCTTCTTCTTCTTCTTCTTCTTTTTTTTTTTCTTCTTCTTTCTTCTTTCTTCTTTTCTTCTTTTTCTTCTTCTTCTTCTTTTCTTCTTTCTTCTTCTTCTTCTTCTTCTTCTTCTTCTTCTTCTCTTCTCTTCTCTTCTTCTCTTCTTCTCTTCTTCTTCTTCTTTCTTCCCTTCTTCTTTCTTTTGCTCTGCTTCTGCTTCTGCTTCTGCTTCTTCTGCTGCTTCTTCTGCTGCTTCTTCTTCTTCTTCTGCTGCTTCTGCTTCTTCTGCTGCTGCTTCTTCTTCTGCTGCTGCTTCTGCTTCTTCGTCTTCTTCTGCTTCTTCTGCTGCTGCTTCTTCTTCTGCTGCTGCTTCCGCTTCTTCGTCTTCTTCTGCTGTTGCTTCTTCTTCTTCTGCTTCTTCTGCTTCTTCTTCTTCTTCTTCTGCTTCTGCTTCTTCTTCTTCTGCTCCTCCTCCTCCTCCTCCTCCTCTGCTTGGCTTTCTCCACCAGCAAAGAATTGGTTCAGCCTGAGTTGGTACCAAGTCACACAGTGGAGTCCTGTGGATATTTAGTCCAAAGAAACCCCCACTTCTGAACAGTGGGGTTTACTCAGGGCCCTTCCACACAGCCCTATATCCCAGAATATCAAGGCAGAAAATCCCACAATATCTGCTTTGAACTGGGTGATCTGAGTCCACACTCTGATAATGTGGGATTTTCTGCCTCGATATTCTGGTATATAGGACTCTGTGGAAGGGCCCTCCGTGTGGACTCAGAGAACTCAGTTCAAAGCAGATATTGTGGGATTTTCTGCCTTGATATTCTGGTATATAGGGCCTTGGGGAAGGGCTCATAGAAATACAGCCACAGACTATCAAATAAGATAATCACTTATTAAACAAGTCCTTTGAAATGATACATAAATAATGTTTTATGTTTAATAGGGTTAGGTTTTTAATTTATAGTTATATGTTATTGTCTAGTTATATGTTTTGGTTTTCACATGTATGAACTTTGAGTCCCGTCAGGGGAAGAAAAGTGATATATAAATACAGTCAATGAATAATAATAAACAATATAACCCAGCACAAAAGTTCTACTAAGCACACAAGACTGCTTTGTGTGTGCTTCAGTGCCTTCCAGTTGTCTGCTTGACTGGGTTTTCTTAGGCAAGGAAGGCTCAGAGGTGGTTTTGCCAGTTCCTTCCTCTGCATTTAGCCTACAGCACCTGATATTCTCCTTGGTGGTTTCCCATTTTGAGTACTAAACAGGGCTGGCTCTGCTTGGCGGAGACAGGCAGGCAGGATCTGGTGCCTTTAGAATATTTGTACCTTCTGTAGAAATGGGATCACCTCAGATGTACATTAAATACACTCCTAGAAAACAATACTTTTTGTTGAGTTAAATCCTAAAACAGGAGTAGGACTGGAAAAAAGAGGTATGAAAATTGGAGGAAGAAACACCAACAGCTTAAATATAGAAATGACACCATACTACATGTGAGGATATGAGAGAAGCCTCCTACAGCGGGCATCCCCTGGGCAATGTCTTTGTAGACTGTTCTCAATTTGCTTCTGACACCATAAAAACATACTACAACTCAGCAGAAAATAGCAAAGACTTTGAAAGATTACTATGGTTGGATCTACACTGCCCTATATCTCAGGATCTGGTGCCAGGTTATCTGCTTATCCCAGATTATCTGGCATTGTAGACTCAAATAATCTAGTTCAAAGCAGATAATCTGGGATCAGATCCTGGGATATAGGGCAGAGTAGATCTAAAGTCAAGGTAGAAAATGCAAAAGCAGGTTTACAAAAGAACCTTAAGAAATAAAAAATAACAACCACACATGATTTACATAATTCAAAGCAAATGATAAAAATTAGAAAGAGTTCACAATTTTCCATACCTTGGCTTATTTATTAATCAGGATGGAGTCTGTTGGTAAAAAATCAGAAAAAGACAAACACTTTGAAGAGCAGATATGAAAGAACTAGATAGATCTTGAAGTTTCAAGGTATAGAACTGAATATTAAAATCAGGATGGTCAATGGCCTCATATTTCCAGTTTTTATGTGTGGCTGTGAAAGCTGGACAATGAAGAAAGCTGATAGGAAGAAAGTGAACTCAGCTGAAAGGTGGTGCTGCAGAAGAGTTCTGTGAATACTGTGGACTGCAAAAAACAAAAACAAAAACAAAAAAACAAATAAAGCAAACCCTAAAGCAAATCAAGGCCAAATTATCCCTAGAAGCCAATAATAAAAGAATAGAATCATAGAGTTGGAAGAGACCTCATGGGCCATCCAGTCCAACCCTCTGCCAAGAAGCAGGAAAATCATATTCAAAGCACCCCAACAGATGGTCATTCAGCCTCTGCTTAAAAGCCTCCAAAGAAGGAGCCTCCACCACACTTTGGGGCAGAGAGTTCCACTGCTGAACAGCTCTCACAATTAGGAAACTGTTCCTCATGTTCAGGTGGAATCTCCTTTCTTGTAGTTTGAAGCCATTGCTCTGTGTCCTAGTCTCCAAGGCAGCAGAAAACAAACCTGCTCACTTGCTGGCTAAACTAAGATGTGTACACGAAAACGGTTGTACTTTGGCCAAATCATCAGAAGACATAGGTTACTAGAAAAAATAACAATGTTTATAAGGTAGAGGGCAGGGAAAAAAGAGGAAAACCATAGAAAAGATGGGTAGCCTCAAGCTATCCATCCATCCACAGTTCTGAGTCTGCAAGATCTGAGCAGGGATGTTGATAATCAGATGATTTAGAAGTCATTCATAGGGTCACCATAAATTGAAGTCAACTTGAAGGCAACTTAACAACAGAAACAACAAAGTTGAGTTGCCAAAATATAAAGGGTGGAGGATGATGTGAAAGCTGAGAACAAAAGGTGGATTTTAACACCTTTGGTGCATTGGCTTTTCCATTTCTGAACTAGACAACTTTGAATGACTACAAAATGGGGCAAATATTCTTAATTTTCCTTTCATAACATTGCACTGCTGTGACACTACAACAAATATATTTGTTATATTAAAAAAACCCTCTCATGGTGTCTTTGAGGAAATCTAGCTCTTTTCAAACCTGAAGGATTGTTGTGGATGGAGTAGGATAAGAACAAATAGTAAGGCCTAGGATAGGAAAACAATAATGTAAAAACTAACAGCAGCAACTACAGCCATCCCTCCAGGTTTGTAGTTTTGACTTTTGTTTATTTGATTATGCACGTATTTGATTTAAAATGTTATCTCTAAGAATCTCTAGATCCTCCAGTGTGACTCTATGGTCACCTTCCTGCAGGCAGCCAAGTTTCTTTCTGAGGTAGCCAAGACAACTTCCTATATTGGACTCAGGTTGAGACTTGCCTTGTATATATTTGCAGTGGTTTTACCTACGTTCATGTGCATCTGGCATTGCACTCCTCCTGTGTTTGTGGTCTTATCGGTTTATGAATCTGTTGGCAGTTGTGCAC